AGATACTCAACTCCACAGAGGGCAACTTCCATCAGTTGGTGGCACTGCTGAACTGCCGAGGTCTGAATAAGGTAACACAAGGCGCAGCAGCGCATGCAGGAAAGCTAAGTACCAAATGACTGATACTTTTTATTCATTGATATATCTGTCCATTTTCTTTCAGGACTACATTGACTCTTTGAAAGGCCTGTGCTACGATGGGATGGAGGGATTGCTCTACCTCTCCCTTTACTCTTTCCTCTCTGCTCTGGCCTTTACCGCCATCCTCTGCTCTCTGCCCGGCGCCTGGAGGAGCTTCCCCAGGTGAGAGAGAGAGTGGGAATATATGTAGGTGGTGCAAAGGTATAGGAGCAATAAATCTATTTTGTCCCACAGTGTCGTGGGAACATTTTGTTCTCTGCTCCTCCATTCATAAAGAATAAGTCTAGCATGCTTGAAAAGGGTTATAATACAGTAATACCATTAATGAAGTTTGGCCTCCTCAACTCTATTTTAGATTTTAAACTAGTTTCTTTTTTGCATGTTCAGGGGTTTGGTAGCCGTGGCACAGGTTTGTTGGATCTGCTGAGATGGATGTGGAGTAGATAGTTAGTTCCAAGTACAATGAAATCCATGAGAATCCTCTTCAAGTGTCGTCAGCTAACAGCGAGATTAGGTGGTTTGTGATCAGTGCTGCTAGTGCATCAGTCCTGTAGATCGGTAGTTTGATGTTTTCTGTGTTAACCATTTGTGGATGCATATGTCACTTTTACCATCTGAAGCGTGCATGTTATATCTTTTTTGTTCCTTGCAATATTAGAGTATAACTAACCATGAATAGTGACAGAGATAATCATGGAGATGTCTTGTCAGATGTCTTTAAATGGAACTATAAGAATGAATATAGCTATGAAGAGAATACGGTATAAAGGCACATTCATGGTTTCTCTGCTCACACGTGCACCTCTCTGTCTCTTTCATGGACGACGACAGTGAATCAGAGGAGTACGAAGACTCGGACAGCGAGAGTGAGGACCCCTTCACCTCCCATCAGGCACGTAGACAGACGACCTCGGGGTCTCAGCGAGGGGCCATGACCCCCTTCTATAATTACCCGGGGGCCGGGTGGACACCCCCCTTTTCTAGCGCGCCGCCCCTCCCGTGAGTAACACAGACACTCAGACACACAGACAGACAGACAGACAGACAGACAGAACGTCCCAGATGTTGCAGGAGGAGGAGGCTGCTCGTAGATACAGTTTGGCATAAAGCTAGTGCTTCTGTGTCGATATTTGTACCTATGGGCAGCTTTTATACTGATGCCCCCCCCCCCCAGATCAGGGATTGTAAAAAGTCCAGCATGTACACAGAGTATACTACTAAACACATAGAGACTGACTGAGCACTATTAAGACGTTTTTGTGCAAACACATAGTCCTTTTGGTGAAGAATTCACAGATTTCACCCCTCAAACAGCATTCATTTTAATCGTGATATACATAACAGATGTTGCAAAGTTATCTTTACTACAGAGTAGTTGAAGTGCAGTGTAGTCAGCTCGGTTCACACACTTTTGACTCTATATAGACATGTAGTCCAAATCCACAGAGCTGCCAGGTTAAGCACATGCATTGCAGACAGACACACAGACAGGTCAATATGGACTAGAGTGTAGGCAGAGAAACAGACACAACTCCAGAGGTCTGTCTGTCTGTCTGTGTGTCTGTCTCTTCGTCTGTCGAGTGTTTCGGGACAGACGATGTAGGCCGCTCGGTCATTTTCGCAGATCTTGTCTCAAATGGCGTGCTGTCTCCTAAACAGTAGTAGACTACTGCTGTGTTGGGGGAAGGGTGTCATTGATGAGGCAGCGCTCGTAAAAACTCCGGCGATGTGAGGCTCAGGTTGACAATAGGTAACCCCCAGACGTGCCCCCCCCCCCCCACTACGAGACAGCACGCCATTTGCGACAAGATCTGCGAAAATGACCGAGCG